CGCTAATCTGCTTGATTAAGAATACTCTGGGCTCAAACCTCAAGTTGAAGTCACTGAGCAGATCCTCCCTTTATTCCTAGTAGGTCTGTCCCAGGGCAGAACCACTAGAAAACTCAAAGTCTTTGACTCTACAGCAAATAAGCCTGGAAGCTCCTGCCCGAGGGGGCTCTGCTGGCAAGCCAGGAGCGCTGCCTGCAGCCCCTCAGGCACACTGGCAGCCTAACTAAGCAGGGACAAAACTGCAAGAACAGCCATCTGCTCCGTACAGTTGTGGGTTTCCCTGGCAGGGAGAACTTTTAATACTTGCATTGTATCAAAGTGGTTCAAATGCCAGTTCAAGAAAAAAGGAGACTGCCCGGGCTTGGAGACCTTATGCAGGGCCCTATTTTTTCCTATCATCTCTAACTGAATTTGGGTGGGTCTACCACAACTCCAGCTTATCTGCAACTCTGTATCCCTTCCACAACTGGAAACTAGTTAGATATCTATAAATTACTTATAATCTACGTACAGTCAACAGGAAAGAATATCCAAGAAATAGATCCCAAGTCCCAGCTTCCTGCCCTGCTTCATTATTTCGCTTGGATAAAAAGTCAGAATAAAATGTCACTACTACTAGCTATTTCCTAAGATAAGGTTGAAAGCCCATTTGCAAATTAAAACCCTTCCTGATCATCAAAAATGCAACTGGTTGGCAGTAACACCACAGCTCATTCTTTTAGACCTGATCTAACATTTGCTAACTGATGCGCTACTCTGGTATTATTAACTACTGCTCCAAACAAGGTTCAGAACTAAAAAGGTACAGACCAGGCCCACCCATGAATAAATGGCACAATTTCTATAAAAGTGTATTGCCCAAACATAAGCAATAAAGCTTCGTCATGTTAAATAGTATCTCGATTATAATGTTACAGAAGACAATGTTAGGAGCTACTGGAGGACTCTCAAAGTTGCTGGATTTTAATCCACTGTGGCATATAGAACACTGAGCTGGACAACAACAACAAGGCCCTTGTTGACATTTTTGTTTGGAAACTGGATGATTTCCTAAGAGTTCAAGATTTCAAAAAAAAGCAATAAAACACAATTTAATTGTGGTATGTAAATTACACAACTGGAACAGTTTTTATATTCAGACCATATATGCAGCCCTGAGGACAGGCTTTTTCTTCTCCAAGGAGCTGTTGGGGACCCCCCCAAAAAAAAAAACAACCCAAAACCCACACGCTCCTTTCCTTTCCCTGAAAATTCCCTGCTATTAGCACTGTTCCACCAAGGCAGCAAGAGCACCACTAACATCTGCTTCCTTGGAGTACTCGATATGGAATTGGTAAACCTGCAAGATCCCTTCTGCTGATGGGCAAGGATTGCATGAGTCAAAGGTTGCTTTTGGCAGTGGTGATTGAATATGCTCAATATAGAGTTATTGGAAACACCTCCAGAACACAGCTCTCTAGTCACAACACTAACATTCCTTCACATCGGCTGCCAAGATCGAGAACTTCCATTTTGTTTGACAACTGGAATACTCTGAAGTACAGTAATGAGACTGGAATATGGATGATTTGTTTATAATCGTTTTCCAACAAGAACCTGTCTATACCAAGAGCCTTCAGACATCGGCCTCTAATGCACTACTTTCTTCCGCTCTCTTCATAGGATAGAATTAAAAATTTACTGGTAAGTCAGAAAATAGTGTCAGGGGCTGACATCTAAGAGCTCTTGATGTAGACGGGGCCAGAGTGATAACTCAAGTCCTCAATACAGATGCAGTTGTCTCATGGCTTAGATACAGTCTAAGATGTAAAGGTAAAACTCCATAACTAATCTGTCTATAGCAATTTCAGTATAAGTGTCTCAAAACTAGATTTCTCCCCTTCCCAGGACGTAATTGTGGCAAGAGCAAAAATTTAGTACTATTGCTTGCTGCCCTGTGTGGAAGGTTCAGCGTCTTCTGCCAGGGAAGACTGAATGTAGCTCACCAAGAGGATCAAAAGCAATAACATGTAACCCTTTTGTTGCAAACTACTTTTAGCATTTACCATACAGTACATTTTGCTATTAGATCTTTTACGTAAAAACTGTGCTTTTATCTGCCTACTTCACAGGCATAACACGTGGCAAAGTAACAAAAAGAACACACCTCTAAGAGCCAGTCTAACAGTATTGATCTCATGTGAGGTTGCAAACTAGAATGTAGTGATGTGAAATGTTTGCAATGAGCATATCTATTCTCCTTCTTCAGGATGTTGAGCCAGACATCTTTGGAATTTCCCCAGCTATGGAATAAAGTTACACAAAGCATTGTTAAGTATATATACACCTTCACAAAAGGAGTACAAAAACATTATTTATTGTTTACAGACATTCAGGAACAAAAAGAAAAATTCCACATACTAAAAGATCCTTATGGTAATTAGAAAACTGCAGGTATACTTTGAACATTTTACATCACCACAACAGCAGCTTGCCAAGATCATCAGCCAGTCCAGTTTTATAGAACAGCCAATAAAACTGAACGTGTGCATCCCAAAGTTGCACATACAACCAGAGTTTCCTATTTTGCCTAGTTAGGTGGCTGTCCAGAGAGCAATATAAAAACCAAACCCTCCCCATAAAAAAGAAAAAAACCACCCCAATCCCCAAGAAACACAAAACATACACGAAGTTGTCCAGTTTAGTTTGAGAAAAACATTTACAGATGGTGTTTAAAAGTCATTCACCCATCCCTTCCTTTTGTAGCCTACCTTAAGGCTCAGAAACAGACTATTGTGAGAAAAACTGAGTTCTTGTTTATTGCTAACATAATTTATTAGCACTCAAGCCTACTTGGGAAGAAGAAGATGCCTATATCATTAATATGGCTTGGTTTTAATTTGTAATTATTGTTATTATGAATTGATGTGGTTTCTTTTCTTAGATGTACTTCTCATCCTCCAGTTACTAAGAGGGACAGCACATTAATCAATGCAATGCTGATTTCCTACTGACATTTTTGGAGTTATGCATTTACCTTCCCCCAAGCAGAAGCAGAGAGAGATTAAACAGACCTGATCACTGGTATCGCCTACAAATTCTAACCCAGATCAGTTCCATTCTGCTGCCATCATAAGTTAAAAGTTGGAGAGATACTTGCTTGTTTAACGCACAAGTCTCCCCATTTAAGTGGGCAGGCATAGAGAAATCTCCTATTATGATCTCCCTGCAGCAGTTAGGAAAGCATGAAGGCAAGAGAGAGTAAATGATCCTCTTACTCAGCTAATCGGAAAGCATGGAGCTCAGCTTTACCAGATGCCTATTGACAAGAGGTGAACATCAAGGATTAAACTCCTTGCATGGAATTCTGTATCTGAACCTATCTTTTGGGATCCAGCAGTTTCCAACAACTTGCCAAAGGAGTGCATGATATTATTTTTAAGAAACTACTTTGCACTAAGCTTTCCAACACATGCAAAAATGTGATTTGCTAAGTATAGAGAAGAGTATACTGTTCTTTACA